TAAGCCTTTCTGAAGCTCCCCAGTGGCACTTCTTCAGTAGAGCGATTAATCGAGAAATGCGCATCTAGGAGTAGCTTAAGCGACTCCTCGCTACTCGTTGTCCACCCCCTATCTGCATTTCATAGATAACCCACCGCCTTAACCTTGAGGACTCGTGACAACCGCCGCAGAAGGCTCTCCACGAAGCTCTCTTGAACTCGGACTTGTAAATGGCCTGTCCGGCCTTGTTCAACGCCCAGTCGTCACTAGAGCCACTTTTACGGGCTTTATTGAAGAGACTTCTACTCGAAAATCTGATCTCCGTTAGCTCCGAAGTCCACCAAAGGGGTTTCCCTTTACTTTTCTGAGTTCTCAGAGGACAGGAGCTTTCAAGAGTAGTTCTACTAACAGAGCTGAAAACCTCGACGAGCTCAACAATCGCGTCCGCCGATAGGATCGAATCCCTGTCAGGCACGGTTGGAAGAGCTGATCGAAGCTTCCTATAATACAGGAGTCAATTGGTATTCCTGAAATTTCTATAGGTTTTGTGCTTCGGCAGCGGGGTGTCCAAGCTGAACCCAATATATTTATGATCGGAAAAGGAATGGTCGTCTAGAACTCTCCATTCCGAGATCAAGTTAGCAATTTCTCTAGAGGCTAGCGTGACGTCAAGGACTTCCGCCCTGCTAGCTGTCACAAAAGTAGGGCAGGATATCCACGTCCGAGAGATTTGGGCGAATATTCATTTTCGTGTGGGTATCTTTACCACTCTCTTCCACCCCAGCGGGAGCCAACGGGCCATCCGCCCTGGCCTTCTGTTGTCCCTTTGTGACACTGAGAGGAGCGGGAGCTCCTTGTTTAGGAGTATCAGCGCCTGCCGATATGGCTCCTCGGTCCTCTCCAGTCTTGTGGGAAGAGATGGATTACAGTACCTCAACATCCCTTCAATTTCGGCCGGGGTACAGAGTTTGGCCGGGCGCCAGACCCGAGCCCGAGGCCGCATCGGGAGATCCGTTTTGGCCATTTCCTCGAGTCTTGCTCCTTTCCACACTTCCCCTACCCATGGTACCGCCTCCTTATAAAGGAGTGCCGACCGTTCGTCGGTCGTACACACCGAGTTCCACTGAGCTTGCGAGTTTAGCGATTTCTCTATACATCGGTGCGGCTCTGTCGAGGTGTGGGGCTCGCTCGGCACCACTTAAGAACAAAAAAACCCACAACAATATAACTACAGAATTAATTTTGATATTCTACATAAAATATTGATTTGGCATGTCTCAACCGTTAATAACTAATAAAATAATAACAAATGCCCTATTGGATTTTAAAAACTGTTATATTATACATACACACATACATATGTACATGATAACACATATTTTTTACACCCTGAATAGGGTATATCAATTTTGCCACGTAGTTTGAAACGTCGAAGATCCTATAATGTATATATGAGTCAATTTGGCCATGTCCGTCTGCCCGTATAGTTCCTTAGTTTTTGAGATATCAATCTTTTTCCTCTCCTCAGGAAGCTGCTTATTTGTCGGAACCATCGATATCGGACCCCTTTAGCATATACATACATACGCGCCATACAAACTGAACGATCAAAATCAAGTGTTTTTAGCTCCGGTGCTGCTAAAGTTAAAGTTTTTTGCTGGCCTTAAATAACAAAGTGTTACATTAATATCAATTATACAGATTCTATTATTTAATTTCCATATGGACTCGATCTTATACGAATAAGTCTTCATAAAAATTGAAGAAATATAACAAACATTTATTATATACATATATTATATTATGGCAAGTTGCGTATGGATTTAGTTTAGAATGTGAAAATAAGCGTAGCACCGCACAATTTTCGACTGATTGCAACAATAGTCATTTAAGAAATTATCGTTTTATGAAATGAACTAAAACAAGTAAGGAAGGGCTAAGTTCGGATGTAACCGAACATTTTATACTCTCGCAAAGTCAAATGGTATACTCGTTTGAGATTTCTTTGTGGATTGACAGAGAGAGATGCCACCAGAATGTATTGAATACCCGCAACTATATTTTCAAAGATAAATTTATACAGGTATTTCTAATCTTTAGTAATAAAAATTCATAATTTCTTTACTCCATATTTTTGTCTATTTATATAAAATCTTGAATTAATTACAATTCTCATTTAAATAAATAATATTCGACTAACTCTTTGCGGTTCAATGAAATAAATATGAAAGATCTTAATATTTTATGATAATATAAAACAAAAAGTTCCAATTTTATTAGAATTATTTTATGTATATGTGGTACATATTACATTTAATACGCTATATGTTATTAAAATGTTTATTGTAATATTTCTAGTATCTTAATTTCCTAATTTAAATTTTTCAAAATATTTCTATTATTCTATTCATACATATTTGATATTACATACAAAATAGATAACAGAATTCAATTTGTGAACAATTCATTTGAAACTTTCATTTCAAATTCTTTGAATAGTTGCAAGAGCGCTCGGTTTCAAATAATTCGTTCACAAATTGAATTCTGTTATCTATTTTTGTATGTAATATCAAATATTATGAATAGAATAATAGAATATTTTGAAAATTAAATAGGAGAAATTAAGGCACTCAAAATTCATTTAAAAGATTATATTTTAATACTTAAAGTTTAGGAAGTTTCTGTTATAAATTTGGCCTTAAAAATATTGAGCGGATATTCAATACATTCTAGTGGATTAGGAATTCCCGTCTTAAGTATTTCTTTGAACTATTAAGCGGGTAGGTATTATGCATATTGTTCTACCATATTAATGGTAATTCATTGCAAGCAAAATGTGAACATCATCTCAACATACAAATGAAATATGCAACACGCTCTAAGTGTTGCGCGTCGAACCGCACAAATATTTACGAAAATTTGTGAAAAGGAATGCAGGAAAACTAGACTCGAGTTGCTGGATTCTTTTGCTCGTGTGAATGCACAGAGCGACACCAAAAGAGAATTTGACGAAAACGAGGGTCAAAAGAGTCTGTGTGTAAGAGT